CCAGTTTAAATCTCTGTCAAAATTTGAACCAATGGGACAATTTTTTCAGAGAGTAGATGAATATAGTAAAATGCTTCTGAAAACTAGATAAATTATATTTTTTATGTTTCCGCTGTAAAGTTTAATGTTGATTATCTTCTAATTAAATTTGAACCAACAGGAAAATTTAATTTGAAGAGCAGTTACATTTAGTAAATTATGATTATATTTATCCTCTAATTAAATTGGAACCAACGGAAAAATTTAAATTAGAGGAGTAGTCCGATTTGTTTATGTTAAATTATGGTATTGTTATTTTCTCACCAGATGATAACAATATTATAATGTGTTTAAGTTTGAAGTTTAAATTTCGGATAAATTTTACACCAACACGGTCAATTTTCAGAGAGTAGATAAAACCAAGAAATGCCCCTGAACAAATAGAATGTATTTTATTATCGTGTTTTCGCTGTAATGATGTTAGATTATCTTCTAATTAAATTTGAACCAATTGGAGAATTTAATTTTGAAGAGTAGTTGCACATATTTCAAGTTAATTTATGAGTTTTATGCATTAATTTTATTTTCTATCCAACGATTGATGCAGAAGCACCTTGTATGTTTTAATTCGACGAGATCACTCAGTTGCATGTCAACGGGCTGGGGTATGTGAATGAAAAGGTTTGAGTTAAGCCAGTTCACGACTGTTTACTAATTTTCTGATTAAATTAGAACCAACGGAAAGATTTAATTAAAAAATAAAGTTTAAGTGAATGTTTTAGTCGTAATGAATAAGTTTTCGTTATAGCAAATTGTATATAGATGTATCCCGCATGGGAAGAAGTTTGGTATAGTACTTATGCTTGTCAATCCTGCATGGCTGGTGAAGTTTTGTGATGACTCATATGTTTTATATCTCGTATAGCAAGAGAAGTTTGGGTAGCTCTTATGCTATCCTAGTATTGACCATGACACAATAGAAATACACCGTCATGGTTAATACTAATCAAAAAACAAGAAAAAAGATACAAGTGTGGCTTACAAAAGTACCGCTCATAAAAGACCTCGTTGAGTTCTTGAAGTGGAATAAGGAAAGTGTATTTCTATACGAATCAAGAAATAACTTTGTTTGCATGACACAATCATGTGAATGAAGTAAGTCATAAGTGTCTCCTCGGTCACAATTTTTCTGAATAGTTCTCGAAATTATGGCAGTAAAGTTTATGCCATATTTTGAGGAAAAGAATAGAATGATACTCTTCAATGAGAATGAGATAAAGATTAATTAAGATGAATGTGACCATCGGAGGAGTATAACGGTCATAATAACGATACCCCTAAGCAGAGAAATAGCTAAATTCCTAGATTTTTAAAAGTTCCAATAGTAAGATAGCATAGTCAGCCTCAAAGATATTAAGGTGGTGCTTAAAGCGCCATATAAGGTTCTAACAGATTAAACCCAAATAAAAAATTTGAAGATACACTATTTTTATAGAAGATGGGATGATTTGGAGGAGCATGGTATGTAGAGATCTATGATTTGAAGAGAAGAGGGACTACGTGCCCACTTCAGTGATTCAAATACCTGTTGATGTTGTATGACTAATACAACACCTGTTGTTAGCCCTTCGAAGAAGATGCGTAATGTAAATAAGGATCTTGTGATACAGGAGCATGTAGAATCAATTGTCTCTTGGCAATAAAGAGCAACAACAACCCCATATAAAAATGCCTGTAGCTGAGGCCCTAGAAGGTCTCAAAGAATTAGTAAACTAGTTTTTCTGATGAATATGAAGTCTATGTTAGTGAAGAAATTCAAATGGAGGGTGATTCCATCTTATTTGAAGATGCCATGAGAAACGTTTACTCGTCTCAATGACAAGAAACTATGAAAGTTGAAATGAATTCGATGAATACCAACAATGTTTGGGACTTAGAAGAAATTCCTTTCAAAAAGACTACCCGAGACTACTCTTTGATTAGCTGATTTGTATGTTAATTTGGTTTTGAGGGGGAGAGAACTAGGGCTCTGAGGGAGGAGAGGGTGAGGCTCTGATCTACCAAATTCACCGATAAAATTGTGAAATTTGTAAGGGTTTGGATCCTCTGTTCGCTTGAACTTATCAGCCAGACTTATCAGATATGTTACAGTATTTTTCTCTCATAACAAATCAGCGAACAGTATTTTTCAACCTGACTTTTCAGCGAAACGAATAGGGCCATGTCTTTATAGTGGATTGCTTGCTTGTTACAAGTTCTCCTGCAAAAGTTTTCCGTGTAAATTTCTTTATGGTGACTGCTCACTATCTTGCTTTCTATTGGTGCCATTTTTGAATCATTAGAGTTGAACTACATATGCTTGAGTTGGCATATGCGAAGCATGTCTTCTTTAATATGTTGATGATTTAGGCCCTGTTTGGCACGGCTCGCGCTGGCTCCGGCTTATCTGACGAAAACACTGTAGCGAGAAGCCGGTTTTCTCTATCCAACGTTCTGTCTCACTGTAGCACGTACACTGTAGCACGCGGGGAAAAGCAAGAAATAACGGCTTCTCCGTCTTCGATGAACAGTGCCAATGTCAGTGAGAGAGGAGGAGATGAGAGAGAAAAACGGCTTCTTGCTACAGTATTGCTACAGTGTTTCCGTCAGATAAGCCAGAGCCGACGCGAGCCGTGCTAAACGGGGCCTTAGTGACGGGGATTGATAAACTGGTGAGCTAGTTATTAGGTTACACATGGCAGGCCCAAATGTCATGATCGACTCTAGATCTATAAATTCCATGCTTGGACATATGTGTAGTTGAAATATGCAGAAGTTGTAGAGTTTGCTGATATAACTATCTCTCAGGGCGTCGGTACTGTAGCTGACGCGACATTTCATTTTTTTATTTTTATTTTTTTACTTTTATTTTTTATTGTTAGTTTTTTTATTTTTCTCTCTTTCCATTTTTCTTTGCTTTTTTTCGGTTTTGTTTTTTCCTCCTCTACGCGTGCGCAGCAGAATGTGCGTATCTTCTTAGTGTTTATTAAGCTACGTATATTATTGCTACTTGTCAGCAATCTCAAAAATCTTCCCATACAATGCCAAATAGAAATTTGCCGCTCCAAGAACCGATGGCCTCCCAGGGCGTCGGGCACGGTAGCTGACGCGACATTTTATTTTATTTTTTTATTTTTTATTTTTTATTTTAAGTTTTTTATTTTTCCCTCTTTCCAATTTTCTCTTTTCATTTTTTCTTTGCTTTTTTCGGTTTTGTTTTTTCCTCCTCTACGCGTGCGTAGCAGAGTGTGCGTATCTTCCTAGTGTTTACTAAGCTAGGTATATTATTGCTACGTGTCAGCAATCTCAAAGATCTTCACATACAATGCCAAATAGAAATTTGATGATGTGGAAGAAGAGAGGTAAGCGAGAGAAAGATATGGTTGTTTCATGAAAACAACCACCTTATGACAAAATATTGGACTATGAAACAATTATTTTACTATGGCTCTACATAAGAGATGAGACCACTTATGAGGCGGCGGTGCTAGCATCGGATATGCGTCCGGCACCCGCATCTGCACACCGTTTCGCGTGCGCCCCACGCAAGGGCCTGCGTCACCCAATCCTCACCAGCATCGAGAAGAGAGGGAGGGGCGGCGCCCGCCCACGTCTCTGGTTCGGAAGGACCTGCGGTGTGCCCCAACCGGCGCCGAGAGGACAAGAAGACATCGAGGCGAGGCAGCGAAAGGCGAGGATGGAGATGCAACACCCAATTTACTTTTGAAACATCCAGATGTAACACTTGCAACATACGGCTGAAGACATATGAAACACTTAAAATACGCCTTTGAAACACTTGAAAAAACACATGAAAAACACTTGAAACCATTGTAAACATACGTAACATCCAGATAAAATACTTGCAACATATGTGTGAAACATATGCAACTTCCAGATAAACTCACTTGTAACATACGGTGAAAAAAACAGATAAAACATTGGGAACAAAAGCTTGTATTGTAAGTGTACAACCATTACAACATATGCAACATCCTGATCTACTTTTATAACATCTATATTAAACACTTGCAACATACTTACTAAATATCTGAAATACTTGAAACATATGTTTTGCAATATAGGGCAGGCCAAGGTCGGTCGATTCCAGCCGAGACAGGTTGGAGCCGACGGTGAGCGGCGGCGCGCTAGCACCACCAGCACCAACACCAGCACCAGCACCAGCGGCGACGCGTGAGAACCACCGGCGCCTCCAGCGCCACCCGCACCGGGCTTGGCTCGGCCAGGCGGGCGGGAATGAGCGGCGAGCGAGCTAGCGGCATGGCAGCAACGAGGCGGAGTGGGCATGCGGCGTCCGGACAGGACAGGTGCCCGCATCCTATCATTACAGTTTACGAGGCAACAACGATACACTTGCCTTAGATGTTTCGCTGCTCCTCCAACAAAAAAAAAAAAATAGTTTCGCTGGTCCCTCAAGATATGTGCTCAGCTAACGGCTAACGCAGGAAGGGGAGGGCTGGGTTATTGGACTTCAGTCTTGATGTAGACCAACAGCGTCCACTAGCAGCTAATGCATTATGTATGGATCATCAATCGCAGCTCCCACCGCAGGTATTGAAATCACTCAAGTCGCAAACAGCTGTGTTTGGTTCTGACAGGAAACCACTTTTCAGGTTTTGGCACTGGGTTAAACGATTCAGCGAACTACACATGCATGAGTTACGACCAGAAGCATACGAATCCAGTGCAGAAAACAAGCAAGGCACGTATGCATAACCAAAACTCAAATAATTAGAACTGTTGCCTAGCTAACTTCATCTCAGCATATTCTTCCTACTGGACTGGCTGCCTAAACCAGCTGCTAGCTAGTACACACATACGACAGATAGATGCACACACAGACACAGCACATCGAGCAGAGAAAAACAGGACATGAAAAAAGAAAAATAGAACCAGAGTCAGACTCGCGCCGACTGAACTAAACTCCTGTAGTCTTTCCATCGCAGAATATCAGAATCGCCTCAAGCCTTCTGTACTTTCTTGCTCAAGATGACGTCAGTGAGCACCGTCTTCGACTGCAACGACAGGCGCAGGATCTCCAAGCCCTGCAAAACATCGATCCGTCGTAGCGGATGTTTCTTCTTAGATCAGGATATGTATATATGTAGCTGATCGTCAATGGATAAAGCACATGAATGTTTCACTGATGTATGGAAGAAGTTCAATGATGGCAGTCCTCCTTTACAGGAGTATTTGAGCTGAGTATATTATGAATATATCTGAATTACCTCCTCGTAGCCAATCTGCACGGTTTTCTCCATGAGCATGCTGATGTTGGGGATGCCAAAGGTGTTGAGGAGGGTGATGCCGGAGATGGTGGACATGGGCGCAACCTTGAGGTCGTCCATCACAGTGTACGTCACGAGGCTCCGCACGAGCCCGTTCTTATTGTTGCCTGTGGCTTCCGCTTGCACCGACTGCCGAGACCCCGCCGCCGAGAGAAAACTCATCTCCTTGTTCATATAGCCAGAGCACGACGGGCATGTCCAATTGCACGTGTCCGTCAAGTACTCACCCTCACACGAAGAAGAGCTGACGACGACACCAAAACCAAACGGTGAGGGTGAGCGGTTATTACTGTGGTACCTGAAGAACTTCTTTGGGAGGGACTGATCGACCGGCGTTGGCGGCGCCGGCAAGCTGAACAGAGAGCCTTTCATGCCGACCGCCGCCGAGGCCACGGTGGGGCGGAGGAGCGCGTCCTTGGCCGCGCCGGCCTCCACGTAGGTGTCGTCGAGGGCCTCGACGCTGGCGTAGACGTTGCCCATGCAGCCGACCATGGATTTCTTCCCGAGCACCTTGACAGCCATGCCGACGGGCAGGGCGAGGAAGGAGAAGAGGAAGTCCACGACGTCCTTGCCAGCCTCCGCGTACAGCACGCGCTCGGCCTTGGTGTCCACCAGCAGCTTCATGCTTAGCGTAGTACTGCTACTGTTGGGATTGGGACTGGCTGGGGACATATCGATCTCAAGAACAGTCCGTTCTTCTTCTACAAACTCGGCGGTGGTGTTTGTGCCGATCTGTATTGTATAACAACATTTTGGAGAAGAATCACTGTTCTCACATTACCTATTTATGCAGCAAACGCCGGTCGATCTCTGAAAGTGGAAGGTCAAGAGTGAGGCCAACATCGCGCCATTATTTCAGCCATGCGAGGAGGCGCCCGTAATGAAACATTCAGAAAACGGATCGGCGGAGAGAGAATGACGTAGGAACGCTTACGCAACAATGATTGTTGGATGAGCAACTCGGGATACTTCAGTGCCAGTAAACTGAACGATCAATTCGACCCTAAACGTAAATGGAAGTTGCTACCAGACATCAACTAGGCATCCAAACCCATACATACATACTGATTCATAACCTGAATAAAGACACTTGAAATACAAACTAGCCATACGTATGGCGTCCCGGCATAACGAGAGCATAAAGGCCTTGTTTAGATTGCAATTTTTGCAACCTGGACACTGTAGCACGTTTCGTTTGTATTTGACAAACTTTGTCCGATCATGGGCTAACTAGGCTCAAAAGATCCATCTCGTGATTTACAACCAAACTGTGTAATTAGTTATTTTTTTACCTACATTTAATGCTCCATGCATGCGTCCAAAAATTGATGTGATGGAGAGAGAGTAAAAAAACTTAAAATTTGGAGGTGATCTAAACAAGGCCGATGTCAGAAACCATACAGTTCTTCCCATGGACTACATAAACTAGTAACCGACAGCATAGTAGTAGACAAAGACAACAAAACGCATGGGCAGAAACTAAAACCACGAGTCCACGACACGCCATCCACTGACCGCACATGCAAACAGCAAATCGAACTCAAGCATAAGCATCAGCACACCTAGCTCAATCCTTCCGTTTCTTCCCAAGGAATACGTCGGTGAGCACCGTCTTGGACTGCAGGGCCACACGCAGGATCTCCAGACCCTGAAAAACATCGATTGATCAGAATAAATGCACACAGGCCTACCAATACATAACACTCATGTGAAGGAACTGAAATATATGATGTGTATTATTTACCTCTTCGTAGCCCAGCTGCACCTTGAGCGTGCCAATGTCCGTGATGCCAAAGGTGTTGAGGAGGGTGATGCCGGAGATGGTGGACATGGGCGCAACCTTGAGGTCGTCCATCACCGTGTACGTCACTACACCCTGCACAAAACCCGTTCCTGCAACAGCGGAGGCCACCGCCGCAGCCCCGCGAGCAGACCTGCCGGTGCTGCTCGAAGCCACGATCTTGATCGCCGTGGTCATCTTACCACTGCAGCGCCTATGCTGACATGATGTGCCGTACACCTCAGACACCATGGTTTCGCATTCAGTGTAGCTGTTGTCGTTGCAACGGTAAAACTGAGTCGGTGCAGGCTCCTCCGGCTCCGGCAGCCGGAGCAGCTTGCCGCCACTGCAGCCGCCGGCCGGCGCGAGCAACGCGTCCTTGGCGTAGTCGGAGCGGACGTACGTCTCGTCGAGCTCCTCCACGCTCCCGTACAGGTTGCCGACGGAGCCGACCATGGCGTCCTTGCTTAGGATCTTGACGACCGTGCCGACGGGCAGCGTGAGGAGGGAGAAGAGGAAGTCGACGACGTCCTTGCTGGCCTCGGCGTACAGCACGCGCCCGGCCTTGGTGTCCACCAGCAGCTTCATGCTCAGCGCGGGAGTGCTAGCATCAGGGCTGGATGGAGCCATGTCTCGTACGAACTTGTGTTACTACTACTCGTATAGTTTCTGGGGTCTGCGCGCGCTATGATGGGGTGAGCTGTTGATACATGAGGGATGGCCTTTATAGACATGCAGAGCGAGCTGCAATGAAGGCCTCGTTGGGAACTTCCCATGACTAAGATGGACCGTTTATTTTCATGCAGTCCCGATGCAGGGTGGCCGTAGGCAACTAGGCGTGCATTGTGGCTCAAGTCACAAGAACCGATATTTTGCATATGTAGTCCCAATGCAGAATGCCAGCTGGCCTGGACGCTGACCGAAGTCCGGAGGTTGCGCACTGCCCTCGATGTGCTTCACTTGATGATGTTTAGAATGCATATATGTCAGCAATGCAGGACCATCGCCGTCAGGCAGAGAAGAGGAAGGCGCCGAGCTCGACCAACCCACTCGTGGGCCAAGACGGAGTGCCCGTGACAGGCGGCCCAGTGTACGAGCCCACGGCCCAGAGTGGGCGTAAGCGAAGCCAGCTAGGCAGTGGCGTGTGAGAGTAGTATATGTGGTGTGTCTCCGGGAGAGAGAGGCAGAGAAGATTGATGAACAATATTGTAATCTAACCTCTAAGCACTCCTCGTTCTAGTAAGATTCCTCCGAACTACTCTATCTTTGTGCTTGCTGCTTCGATCTCTGCCTGTGCTTACAATATATTACAAAAAATTGTGAAAAGGTTCTTAACGTTTGTTTGATAATGTATTTGACTATATTTTTGTTCTCATATCATCATTCAAAATAGAGGAAGTTCATTTTATACCTCTTGACTATAAACTCAGTCGAACACAAGGTATGCAATTTAGAAGTGGTATTGTTTCACCAAATTGCTCATGGAGAGGCTTGGTTTTTGAAGGATTGACGTGATCTCCTTGGTTAAGGTGGGTTACTACCAATCCTTTGAATTTGTAGCCTGTTTTATTAGTGAGTTAAATGTATCAGCGGCCCTCAAACTTGTAAGCATGTGTCACATAGGTCTATAAACTTTAAAAATATATTTTGGGTCACTAAACTTGTTAAGTGGTGCACCGTAGCCCTATAACAGCCACGTGGACATTTTTTCTGATGTGACATGTTGACATGTATATTATTTTCATTTAAATCCTCGCACTTATTTTGCTCATAAAAGGTAGACCCTTTCTCCTCTCATCTCCCATAAAAGCGGCATGTGGATGCACTCTGCGTGGAACCCGTCCGGGGGTTGGCAGCAGCAGAGTCACTCCATCTATCACGCGCCGCCTGCCTGGCGCTCTGGTTGCTCCTCTTCTTCTACCTCCTCGGGGACATCGCGGGCGTCATGCTCCTGTTGCCGGGACATCGCGTGCGTCGTCCGGCCCTCGGCCGAGACGCTTGTCCTAGTGTCCGTGGCCCTGAGCGAGTTCGAGAACCAGGGAGACTCGGCGACGGCGCACGCGTGTCTGGGTTTGGTGGTGCCCTGCCCAGCGCAGGTGGAGCCAGCGCTGGAACCCAAGCCGATGGTGTTGTTGAACCCGGCGTGGAGCTTCGACAAGGAGGAAGAATAGGAGAAATTCGGCGCCGCGCCAGCGAGGGGGCTTCGTGGGGTCCTTCTACGTGGTGTACTCCTTCATGGGGCTGGAGGTGCGGGGCCTGCCGAGCAAGAAGAGAGGCGTGCTGCTCTGGTGCGTCGAGGCCGGGAGGTTCGGCATCGAGAGCTGGGTGCTCATGGTCGAGAACGACGACGGCGCAACGAAAGATGCAGCTACGCAACGAAAGATGTGTTCTGCATTTTGTTGGTGATACGTTCTGAATTCCTTTGTGCCACGCAACGAAAGATGCAAGTACCTTAAAACGGTGGAGATAATTTTGGTTGGTAATTTAGGGCGCATTTGCTCAAGAATATTCAAGGAAGGACACTGTATGGCCAAGGTTTTCATTATCGGAAATAAAACTTTATCGGAGGTCATGGATAAAAAGGATAAGCAAGATATATCGAAAATATCGGACTAAATTAAAAAAATATTTTTTTGAAAAAATCGTAAAATTTTACTTGAAACTATTCTTAAGCTTTTAAACATCACTTGTTCACAGATAAAAATAAGAATAAAACATTATAAGTGTGGGACCGTTGCGCGACTGAATTTAGGTTGTCTGTGTGGGAGCAGGAAAGAAGAAAAAAAATTGACCGATATTAGATTTTATCGGATCCTGTGGATAGAACGGAAATTTCCGTGAAATTCGGCCGATTAAAAAAACCTTGTGTATCGCCACGTCCTCCCGGCCGACAGCATGCATCTAGTCGCCGCCGTACGTATGGGCACGGGCGCGTACAGCACCCGTCTATCCGTCCTCCGCCGTGCAGCATGTGCCTCAGCCACGACGTCCACCATGAGCGTGCGGCTGAGCCACACACATGCATCGTCGACGCGCGTCCAGACCTGGCCGCCCCTCTCCTCAAAGGCAGCGGCCACGATGACGACGAGGCACCTCCGCCAGTAATCCCGATCTCATCGAAGCACACCGCCAAGGCCACCACCGCCACGGAATAGGAGCCTCGCCTGCCGTGCTCTCGACGCGCTCCAGCGGCACCTGTACCTGGCACGGCCACGACGGGAGAGCACATCGAGCGCGCTGTTTCCCAGCGACAGGAGCATGACGCACATGATGTCCCCGAGGAGGTAGAAGAGGAGGAGCGGCCAGAGCGCCAATGCGGCAGCGTGCACGGCAGATGGAGCGGCTCCTGCGCTGCCCCCCGACGAGTTCACGCGGACTGCATCCACATGCCGCTACCATGCGAGATGAGAGGAGTAAGGGTCTATTTTTTAGGAGGAAAATGAATGCGAGGGCATAAATAAAAAATATATGCCATACAAGCACGCCACATCAACAAAAAAATATCCACGTGGCTAGCATAGGCCTACGGTGCATTACTTAACAAGTTTAGGGACCTAGAAATGTATTTTTAAAGTTCATAAGCATATGTGACATATGCTTACAAGTTCGAGGGCTGCTGATGCATTTAACTCTTTAGTAGTTATATTGTATTTGATTCTTGTGCTTGTTCTTTATCGATTTTAGAGAGCATTCTTCATAGAAATCTCATTGACATCTGAATTTTGGTAAATCTATTTGATACTGGGAATTTAAGGTTAGTATCTCAGAACTTAGATGCGTATTCAGATATCTACTTGATTTTAAAGATAAAATATACATTTAACTGACGACAAATTTTCTAAAAATAAGATATATATTAATAAATATTTTAATAATCAAATATATAAAAAATTCAAAGTGTAGATAAATAATTAATACATATAAATGTTTATCAACAAGTAAATATATAAATATTTACATAAATATATAAAAACTAAAGAACTGAATTAAGTCCATTTTTGCCCCTCAACTCATGCCTTTGTCTAATTTTGTCACTCAACTATCAAAACCGTTCAATTTTGACCATAGAGCTGATTTTGAGCGGTTTTCAGATGGCTCTTGGCTCAAAATTGAACAATTTTGATAGTTTAGATGTCAAAGTTAGACGATTTTGTAGTTAGAGGTCAAAATTAGACAAAGGTAAGAGTTGAGGGGTCACAAATGAACTTAATCCTAGTTATATACTTACATTACTTGTGGTGAAACATAGCCACCTAGAGTCAAAATTTTGACTTTTTATTGGTGTTCTTATAGTCTAATTAGTGTTTGTGGGTGATTCGTTAATCTTAAGATATGCTAGATTAATTGACCCGTAGAATGGTAAGGGGTAGCGCTATAGCTACTCCACTCGGAGCATTACCAAATGGCAAAATTTCTTCTAGCTCCACAACCTGATCCAGCAAATAGCTCGAGCTCCCCGTGTTTTGTACTAGAGTGAGTAGAAAATTGCTTGCTCCCCACCGCTCTCTCCACAATTGCCGCTTGCGTCGACGTCTCCATGCGCTACCAAACGATTGAGATGCACAACAAATGGAGCTATAGCAGGAACCGAGTGGAGTGGATTGAGAGTGCTACCAAACTGGCTCTAAGGTCATCACGAAGTTCAAGTACCAACTATTTAAACATTAATCTTTCAACTCCCACCTTAGAAATTGTTCACGTTTGAACTTAACTAAAATTTAGAGGTTTTCATAACAGGGTGACATGACAAAAAAAAAATTTATAAATGAAACTTAAATTTTGTGAATTGCCCGATTAACATTCTCTAATTGAAGTAAGGAATAAGGGACTGTAAAAATAGCTAGTGCATAGAGCTAAACGTTAAATCACCGAGTTGATGAAACAAAACTCGGCACCAAATTGATTTTGGCTTTGAATAATCCTATGTGCGAATGAAATTCCTCAAAACGATGAAGTTACAAATTACCTCAAAAATTGTGTCCCAATTTGGAAAACTAGTATATTGCTTTTAAACAACTATATACACGCATATGCAAGTATTAGAAAATAAGTTTGGTCCAGATGATATTAAATTTTAATTGGTACACAACAAAGTATCTATCTTATTTTTAGATATAAGTTATACCTTATTTGTGATATTTAAATATTGAAGTTGAATATGTGACAAAAATAATATAGTCAAGGTGTATACGCTCTATAGTGCAAGTGAAAAATATTTGAAAACCTTCTTGCTGGAGTGAGGTTTTTATTGTGTTAAAAACATTATTGCTCTATAGCGATGAGTACATAAATAAACTTAATTATATGTCCAAAAGTTTTTGCGCCTCAAAAGAAAGTGAAAATTCAACGACAGCAAGTGAAACCGGCCTGACGCATGACGCCTTACAGAAAAATATTGGTAGTCTTTTTTTTAGAGAAGAGGATCGGAGTTTCTCGAACGGTGATAAAATAGAATCCACAAGTCATCAAAGGGCACAGCGATGCACGTACGGCTAGAAACAGATAAGTGCATCCAAACTAGGACATGAACGAAGGGAACGAACAAATGAAAGTCTTAATCGCGCGAGCGCTTCATCGGGCTTGAAGTTGAACCCTTGCCTTTCTTTTTCTTCGATGGGGCTTTTGTGGATTTCTTCCTGAGGAAGACGTCTATGAGCATGGCCTTGGACAGAGTAATAGCCTTCAGTTTCCTCTTCTTGTTTGATGGTGCAGCGACAGCCTGCTCCCGCCTTCTGTTCTTCTTCCTGAGGAAGACGTCAGTGAGCACGGCCTTGGATTGCAGCGACGCTCTCAGCATCTCCAAACCCTGCACAACACCAGCACTATCAGTCCTCGTGGTCAGTGGATGTGCATAGCACATATATATGAATATGAAGAGCAGGGCAGAGATGATTACCTCGGCGTACCCCACCCGAACTGTCGTCTCCTGGAGCGAGCTGATATCCGTGACACCCAAGGCGTTGAGGAGAGTGATGCAAGAGACGGTGGACAGAGGCGCTACCTTGAGGTCGTCCATGACCGTGTACGTCACGACCTCCTTCACAAACCCCAGGCCTGCAGGATCAGAGAAACCCACGACCTCTATGGGCACGTCCATCTCGCCGTGGCAGAGACGACATGGCGCGCTCCTCGCCACGGTCACGTAGTTGTAGCAGTTGCCGTCGCCTCCCTTGTTGCACTGGAAGACTTCAAGCGCCGGCGCTTGCAGCTGGAGGAGCCGCGTTCCGCTCCCGTACCCACCGGGCGGCGAGAGCAGCGCGTTCTTGGCCTCGGCGGAGCGGAGGTAGGCCGAGTCCATCTCCTCGACGCTGCCGTAGAGGTTGCCGATGCAGCCGACCATCGCGTCCTTGCTCAGCATCTTGACGACCGCGCCGAGGGGCAAAGTGAGGAGGGAGAAGAGAAAGTCCACCACGTCCTTGCCGGCCTCGGCGTAGAGCACGCGCCCGGCCTTGGTGTTCACCAGCAGCTTCATGCTTAGCGTGCTGCTACTAGCATTTCGGCCAGTTGTTGGGGCCATCCTTGGGACCGAGGCCGGTGCTATGGACTATGGAGCGTACTTGCAGCTTGCAAGCGGAAGTGATGGCAGGTGTAGCACCGCGTGAGAACTGCACTGTATGTATATGTATAGTCTGAGAAGGGAGCGCAGCAGCCTGTGAAACATTTTCACGGGAGCGTTCACCGGGAAACATGACTACTTTCTTTCTTCACTGTGAAACATGACTACTTTGCTTGCAGTCCCAATGCTTTGCGCATGCGGCAGCTAGTCTTGGTTGCCTCTTGCATCTAGTACTAGCTACTAGCTACTAGTACGAATACGCATGCGATTGAATCCACCCCATAGTTCCTCCTAGCCTTTGGAATAAATTCTTGCACTGCTCGATCCGTTAATCGATCGATGTAAAACAATTACTCCTCTGTCCTCAAATAAATCTATTTTAGAGTTGTCTTAAATATAACTTTTAACAACCAAATCTACTACCACATAAAAAATAAAACATATTTAAAAATAAACCAAAAAATGAGAGGAATAAACTCTCTCCGTGCGAAAATAAATCAATCTCCTAAGAAATCAAATAAAACAGTTTTAATAAGATATAAGAAGTTTATCTAAAGTAGACATGCAAATAACAATTCCCTCGAATTCATTTTAGAAAAAAAAACCACCGTAACAAAAAAAAACATCCCCGTTCCTGGAAAAAATACCTTCCCTGTTTCTGGAAAAAATCCTATACGGCAAAAAAAATGTTTCCAAAAAGACATTTAAAAATAAACCAAATAATGAGAGGAATAAATTCTCTCCGTGCGAAAATAAATCAATGTCCTAAACAAAATCAAATAAAACAGTTTTAGTAAGATATAAGAAGTTTATCTAAAGTAGACATATGCAAATAACAATTACCTCGAATTCACCTTAGATACCTATGGTGAACACAGGTGTTGCACTATAAAATGGATTTAATCGATTTCAAATGATCATGTCAAGATCAATATTCATCCTTCACTCGACACGCGTTCGTGTTCTACCCGGTTCTGATACGAAGACCAAATCTATGTGTCCACGTCCGATACGAAGTCTTCAAAGCTCACGAGTTCGCATCCTACCCGATTCCAATACGAAGACAAAATATATGTGTCTGCGTCCAACACAAAGTCCTCATAGCTCACAAGTTCACGTCCAATTACTAAGGTTCACACAAAAAAATTAGCCCCCGTGCAGCGCACGAGCATTTATCTAGTTTATAAAAAAATTATTTATAACACTAAATTAGATACCCTACGAAAATAAATATTTATGACTTGTCTTAAACAATTACTCCTCTGCCTGTTTGGTTCTCTCCTCATTTGGTCTAGGCAGCGCTTCTAGATGTCCAATTTTTTATCGCGTTGGCTAAGATTGAATGCCTGGGAGGCCGCAAATCAAACACACCCTATATTTGTACATGTAGGAACCAAGCACAATCTGTAACTGACGTGAAAATGAACCACCTAACAAATTTGAATGGAGCATTGCAATTTGCAAGTTTCTTGGCTCATGTACTGGTATGAAGTTGGAACCCACCTCTCTTGTTAGGGGAAGTACAATAGGCTTGACAATTTAGGGCGTATTCAATAGTGCTCTGCACGAACGCCAACCAAACGCGCAAATGCCTCTCCGCTGAAGAAGCTTTGCAAATCACGCTAAGAGGAACGAGGATGAAGAGGAGTATCTAAAATAATAGCTTCATCCGGTTTCTTCTCGACCCCTTGGGACCGGCAAGCATCGCCTATGAGGCCACGACACCGTGGGCTAGGGAAGGGGAGGGGCAAGCCAAGGAGACGATGGAAGACGAGATGGTAGCACGGCATGAGCCGGAGAACCAAGACAGTGGCGCACCCCAAGGAGACAGCAGCATGGCACTGCATGGGCCAGGGAGGGGAGAGGAGGGGTAAGCCGATGCCCGTGAAGGCGTTGGAGAGGAAAAAGAAAGAGCAGAGGATATGCGTAGTGACTTCGGCATGTGAGAAGATAAGGAGAGAAAAGAAAAAATAACAAAAAAATAATGGTGTTATGCATATTTTACTCTTTTCAACAAACAAGAGAAGTTTGTCTAAAAAACAAACAAGAGAAGTTATTTTACCAAAGGTTTTTCTAACTAGTGAAGCTAGAGTTAGAAAAGGTTGTCTCATTAGAAAAGTTATAGTTGAATGTTGTTTTAACTAGAGCTGGAGCTCGATCTACTAGACATGGCTAGGATGCCAAAAGTGGCAATCATAGACACACTACGCACCTATACCACGTCAACCTCAACACTGAATCATTAGCAACTGGCAAGCAAATAGTAAATTTGTGTGTTAATCTTGCTAAATAAGTCCAGATTTGGGAGAGAAAATTCAATCACAAATAGTTCAGAAAATATTAAATTTACTATCAAGGATCGCATGTTAAGAAAGCACAAAAGATCTCTTTGGTTGCACTGCACATTTTTCTCTAGCTTTTCATGGTGCTTATGATATCATCAAACGCTTTCAAGCAATGGTGAAACATCGTGTGAAGCTTTATTTTTTGTTATGGATTTATTTCATAATGTTTGAATTTTGGTACCCCTTACATAAAATCCTACATCAACAAGCACCCTTATAGAAAAAAAACCTAGATCTACCACTGTTAAATGTATTATCCAGGGCACGGATACATCAATGGGCATTTTCACAGTGTTGCTTCTTGTTACCAAAAGCATAAATGATGGCTCTCATATTTTTTTCCAATGTTTGTAATTTAATTTTCACCTTGTTTGGAAAGTTTAGTGTTTAACAGGGGCGAAGCAACGTGTACTTATCGGGGTGAGCCTACACCTACAAATTTTGGCAAATGCTATCTTTGCTAGTACATTTTGTATGAGGAAAAAGTCTACTCCACCCCCCCCAACTATGGGGGTGGTCTACGTAACCCCTCAACTATGAAACGGTCTGATTTACCCCCTGAACTTTCTAAAACCGTCTATTTTATCCTCTAGGCGGTTTTCAGCTGCGGTTTTGCTACAGTAACATTGATTTTGCTACAGTGACGACGGGTTTGCTACAGTGCCAGGGGTTTAGAATAATTCATAGCTGCAGCTTCTATGGTCCAATTGTGGTGAAATTTCTATGGTAGGTTAATTATTATATGCTTAAACTATAGTAAAAATTTCGTACTCAATGGACCATGTATAACTTAGTTATAGATAAATTCCAATTAATTACAGACAAAATTAGATTCTCTAATTAATATAAATCTACAGTAAAAGTTTTGTGCTAAAGTATATCATATTATATGTTCACTGTGTAGATCTACTCATGTGGAGTCCAACAAAATTAGATTTTTCATTTTATGATTTTTCTGTGATTTACTATGATTTTTCAAATATTCAGCAGAAATAAGAAAAAGAGAAAACCCCTGTTACTGTAGCAACCCTCCGTTACTGTACCAAACCGCCACTGAAAACTGTCTTGGGACAAAATAGACGGTTTTGAAAAGTTCAGGGGGTAAATCAGCACTCGGCAGTTGAGGGTTTTTGGGGGTGGAGTAGACTTTTTTCTTTTGTATGATGATCAATGGAGGCGAGCCACTACTGGAGGCCGCGGCTTTGCCGAAAGTGTTTTACACTTGTCGCACTGTGCCACTCCCGCTCGGCAAAATTTTCTCGGCAAAGGGTCTTTGTCGAGTGCTTTTTCGGGCACTCGGTAAAATAAAAAATAATTTTGTCAAATGCTTTTTATTTTTTTTAAAATAATTTCTTTGCCGACCCAAAGTGTCGGCAAAAAAATTAAATTACTTTGCAAAAAATTTCTGGATTTTTTTTTTTTTAAAATACTTTCTTTGTCGAGTGTCCCTGTTTAGGCACTCGGCAAAGAATTTCTGGATTTTTTTTGAAAACTGAGGCACTTTTTTTTTTTGAAAAACTTTGCCGAGTGCCTTGCCCATGGCACTTTCGGCAAAGACCCCGAGAATTGCAATTTTTTTACATTCCATTGTAACAGACAATATATATATATATACACACACATCAATCATCACATCTATATCACCAACATGCATTATATATCACAAGCACACGCATATTTAATAAATCCATCGAAAATCCATCATAAATGCACCAAAGTTCAACATCACAAGTTTATTATTACAAGTTCAACATCACAAAGTTCAACATCCCTATCGCGGCGACGGAGACTGCAGGTGTGGCCCCCTGGACAACGGTGAAGGACCGGACTGCGGTGAAGGGTTGACGTGATCACCCGCCGGTGACACGCTAGTGGGATTGTTTGAACCCGTCGATGGAGGCTGCACAAAAGAGAAGAGATTGCATGTGTTAGACTCAAAATTGAAAATTTCGGCAGCACCTCCCCTGCACGGGGAGGTTTCCAACCTACAAGAAACAATGGCACGAAGGCCAACAATCACAACGACACGAAGGCCAACAATCCCAACAGCACGAAGGCCAAAAATCACAACGGCACGAAGGCCGACAATCCCAACGCCACGAACGCATTAAACTTTCATACTCACAGGAGTGAAGTGTCGAACCGGAGCTGGAGCTGGCAACTGCACTTGGACACCCGATGCTTGCCCGATGGTTTGCATGATGTGATACATGTCCGCTATCTGCTTTTTCGTGGCCTCCAGCTCTGCGGTCAGGTGCGCTTGCGTCTCCCTTGTCTCTGCCAGCTCGGCCTGCAGTGTTTCAATCACATGTTTTAGTATTGCAAATCTGATCAATGTGTGTAATGTTCAATGTACGACGAGTGAAACCAGAATTACCTGAAGTTCGTCGACCCGTGACAGTGTTGGAGTAGGCATTGCACGTATGGGAAGACTTCTAGCCGTGCTCCGTGCCCTCACGTCGGAGAGAGAGGGTGCAGAGCTCGAGGAGTCGACGCCGTCTGCAATCCACAACCGCCCGTGCTTCCTGCCTTGCCCCAGCCTCACGATCACCTCTATCTCAAGGGGCTTAGTGCTCAGATTGTGATCTGAGCCACGGAGCGCCCTAACCACATCCG